GTGCGGCCCGCGCGCGCGAGCACGCGGGGCTCCGCCTTCCCAGATCTATCGGGCGCCAGGCCCGCGGGCGCCCTCGGGCAGTCCCCGGGGGGAGTTCGAGGAGGTGCTTGTTCTTTGGCAGGCATCAGCCTATAGACGGTGCTCTTTTTGTTCGTTTTCGTTTCGTGTTCGTCTTCCCTGGTGCTGTCTTCCATCCGCCGGTCGCTGCAAAACGGGGATCGGAACGAAACCGGTCCACAACAAATCGCCAAGACACCGTTTGGGTCGCCCCCTGGTTTTTGGACGCTTGGGGTCTCGTGTTCTGGGGGCCCCTCTTTCCGAGGAAGCGCTGCGCCTCCTTGAGGAGGTGGGGACCCCCCCTAAGTGGTGAAGCCGCTCAGCGCCGCCCGGGAGTCGGGCGATGCGAAGTCGGCGGCGCAGAGGGTCCTCAAGCGCGCACAGCAGACGGAAATGCTGACTGCGATCGAGCATGGCCGAAGGCGCAGCGTACACAGCGTCGCACACACTGCAGCATACAAGCGATGGGTGCGTTAGAGGAGCTGCATTACGAGGAACATCCTGGAGGCCATGCGCGGGGCGCAATGGTTGTAGTGCCTAGTCCACACGTCAGCTCCGTGAGCTGTAGGTCGACGCTTGCGCGGCGATGCTTCTGCGTCAGTGCGACGCAACTCCAACGCAAATCCGACGTAGTCCGACGGGAACCCGACGCACATCCGACGGGCCCCGAGCTGCCGCGCGAGGCCTCCAGGATCCTCCTCACAAAGCTGCATAGGTCCAGACGCAACATGCAGCGGCCAGAAAACCTCCCAGCCCAGCGATCACGGATCGAGGATCGAGGAGGATCGAGGATCGAGGATCGAGGACGACGACGGAGGAGGAGGATCGAGGAGGAGGATCGAAAGGGAGGATCGAGGAGGAGGAGGAGGAGGAGGAGGAGGAGGATCGAGGAGGAGGAGGAGGGCACTGCTCAATTTAAGGTGAGCTGACGCGCGAGAGCCGTGCTGGGATTCGGGCGACGCGGTACGCCTCGCGGCGGCCGGTTTCCGGGCGCTGTCGGCCTCTCTCTCTCTCTCTCTCTCTCGGGGGGGCGGCCTCGCGGGCCCGGGGGGCCTTCCACACGGCGACTCCTCCTCCTCCTCCTCCTCGATCCTCCTCCTCCTCCTCCTCCTCCTCCTCCTCCTCCTCCTCCTCCTCCTCCTCCTCCGCGCTCCACGGCGCCTGGGCGGGCCCCCGCGCTCCTCTTGTAGTACTCCGTCATCTGCGGGCCGAGAAGCACCACGGAGCACAGCCGCGAGGCGAGGCGCTCCCGGTCGAGATCGCCATGGCCTGCAGGGGGGGGGGGGGGGTCGAGATCGCCAGGGGCCCACGTCACGAAGGCGTGTGGCTTTCGAGGGGAGGGGGGGTCCCCACCCTGGGCGAAAGCACCTTGCCGTGGAAGGCTTAACCGCAGCCTTCCGGTCGGGGTGCTCTTTTCAGGGGCCTCTGCGGCTGCCCAAGAGCGTGCTGGGATGGGCCATATTGGCACCGGGGAAGGTGTTGGGATTTCGGGGGGAGCCTGCATTGGCACACGGGGCCTTCCAAAATTCAGGAGGGGAAAAAGCACACAGACACAATGAATCGTCGATCCCCAAGAAAATGTGGGAAAATATGGGAAGTGGGCGGGAAGACAAAAACCCAGAAAATATGGGAAACTATGGGGAATCTTTTTATTTGAGTGTATTTATTTGTGTGTCCCAGGGCCCCTTCAAAAATGGCACTGCCTTCGAGGAGCGAAGGAGTCTATCATCCCTTCCTCGGCGGAGGGCGGCAGAAGGCCGGCGGACGGCGGCGAAAAACTAAAACGGCGGCGGCTCCGCCGGCGGAAGCCGGCGGAAGCACAAGGCGACTCCTCCTCCTCCTCCTCCTCCTCCTCCTCCTCCTCCTCCTCCTCCTCCTCCGTCTCCTCCTCCTCCTCCTCCTCCTCCTCTTCCTCCTCCTCCTCCCCCTCCTCCCCCTCCTCCTCCTCCTCCTCCAAAATGGCAATGCCTTCGAGGAGCGAAGGAGTTTATCATCCCTTCCTCGGCGGAGGGCGGCAGAAGGCCGGCGGACGGCGGCGAAAAACTAAAACGGCGGCGGCTCCGCCGGCGGAGGCCGGCGGAAGCACAAGGCGACTTCCCACGAGATGGCATGGCTCTCGCGCGTCAGCTCAGTCCTCCTCCTCCTCCTCCTCCTCGATCCTCCTCCTCCTCCTCCTCCTCCTCCTCCTCTTCTCCTCCGCGCTCCACGGCGCCTGGGCGGGCCCCCGCGCTCCTCTTCAGGGTTCATGGCAAGTTTTTGGGGGTTCAGGGTTTCCGGGATCGGCCTTGTAGGAGGTCAGGGATCGGGTGTTGGCAGGAGTGGATCTGGCCCAAGGTGGCCCGCCTCTTTCAACCAGGGGAAGGGCGGTCGAGGCGAGGACCGGAGACGTCGCGCCGAAGGCTGTCCTTCCCTTCGGCCGTGCAGATGCCCGTTTCAGGTGCCAGGTTCGTCAAACATCGACCTGGGCTGAAAGCCCGACAAGATGGACTGCAGCCAGGAGGGGTCCGGGGACTGGTTTTGAGGTCGACCGAGGTGGAGCCCAAAGGTGACCCGAGGTCACCCGACTGGCTTTGAGGTCACCTGGGGTCACCCGCGGTTTTGGAAAAGTTGGAGCTCGAAGTGGCCCCAGTTTTTGCAGGGAGGCCCAGAAGCCGAATGCACTTTGGGGCCAGGATCACGTTTGGCACCTCCCAGGGAGGAAGCGCAATGTGGAGAGGCGAGAAGGTGGAGGATGATATGAGGAGGGGGGAGCGAGGGAGGAGGGAGGACGGGAAATGACAGAGGAGGAAGAGGGAGGAGGGGCGAAATAGGAGGGTAGAGGGCTGAGGAATGTTCGGGATGAGGGGGGCGGGGGGCGAGAAGGAACATCGGAGGGAGAGTGATGAGCAGGAGTATCGGTGGAACATCGGTGACCTGATCCTCCCTACCGCAAGCATGGGCGACAGGGACGACGAAAAGGAAACAGCACCCAGGCCTGTCCTGGGCGACACGGCGCTGCAACAAATCTGCACGAGCTGAAAAAACAGTTGAAAAATCAACCATCGCGTGTCTCGTGGCGGCAGCGCGCTCCGCGCGCTGCCGCGGGTCCCCCAGGGCCCCGACCCCGGCGGGGGGGTGAGCCGCCGCGGGAATTGTGGACTCCGGGGGGAAGAGAGCAGAGGAGAGGTGGAGGAGACGAGGAGACGGAAGTGAGGAGGAGGGGAGGGGAGCAGTCCCACAGCAGCCACCCCCCCCCCAGCCAGTCCAGACTCGGCGCCAGCGTGCGTGACTTCGGTTCCTCCGAGATCTCAGCGAGGAGGACCGTCAACGGCCACTTGGTCGACATGGCCATGTTCATTGTGGAGGTGTTCCCAAGGTTGCCCGTCCCCCGGGGGAAGGCGCGACCCCGTCCCCGGCTCTACTGTGATGTCCCGCCGGCTAGGGATGAAGGAGCCACCACGCCTTCGGGCCTCTGCCCAGGTGGTCTACAAGAGACGTGTCCTCCTTCTTCGTCCTCTTCCTCCCTGTCCTCCTCGCCCTATTCATCGCACTCCTTCACGCCCCTCTTCTTCTTCTTCTTCTTCTTCTTCTTCTCATTCTTATTAGTATTCCTACTATTACGGTTCTTATCATTATTCGTCTTCTTTATTTGCGACAGTTATGACAGTGCATGCGCACGGGACGAGCAGAACTACAGCCGTCATTGTTCGCTGAAATGGTGTCGGTAGCTGTGTCCCGCACGGTGCGCTGATAGCAGGAGTCAAGCGCGGCGAGCCGCAGGAGACAGTCAAGGGAGGAAAAACCACCCGGACCGGACACTTAGCGTTTACTAAACGGCTCTGGGCGTTTGCTAAACAGCCCTGCCCTGTTTGATGCCTTCTTTGGGCGCATTTACTACACGGCTGCGCTTGTCGGGGTGGTGACTCCTCCTTCTGGGTGCATCTACCAGACGGCTTCGCTTGTCGGGGTGGTTCTTGTCGGGGTGGATTTTCTGCCCTCCAGACAGGGAGGATGAGCGTTGAGCGCCGAGCCCTGCGCCGCAGCGTTTCTCTGGATCGAGCTCGGCTCGGGCCCGCTGCGGCCTTGCGTCTGCCCACCCCTCCGGGAGGTCCTCGCGGCGCCCCCGCCGGCGCCCGGCCTGCCCCCGCCACGCCGTCCCCCCTACCCGAGTTGCTGGGAGGCGGAGGACGGGGGAGGGAGGGGCAGGATCGAGGACAGATGCTTTTGGAATGAATTTGGCCTTCCGTGATTGAATCAGGCCTCTGGGCTCCTCTGGGGGCCTCAGGAGCCCAACGGGGAGCCTCCAGTGGGGGATGTGGAAGATGAGGAGCGGGAGTTGGCAAGGCTGGGAGGGAAGAAGTGAGGGGAGGGGGGAGGATGGGGGGGTAGCACGACGAGGGGGAGGTGCAGGAGGGAAGAGGGGGAAGGGGGAGTAGAAGGGCGGGGAAGGAAGAGGGGTGGAAGGGGGGTAGTTTCCTCTTCCTCCGCTCCCTCTGTGTGTCCGCCCTTCAGAAGGGCTGCGGAAGGAAGGGCCAGATGGGCGGGCGCTGTGTGAGGTCCTCCCGCATCCAAGAGGCACCAAAACCTCCCTGAAACCTCCCAGAGTTTAGTGATGCCAAAGCCTACTTTACCCGGCAGAACCATGCAGAGCGGATGCCGGGCCCCCGAGGAAAGTATTCGCAACAGCGTGCGTAGAGAGCGCCCCGAGAGTAATTATAGATGAAGCCTCTGCCTCCGCAGAGCAGACGTGCGGGAGCTGGTCGCTCGGAGCTCCACCCCCCCCGCTGCGCCGGAGGTTTGCCGTTGTCATTTTCCTTGCGAGAGAGCGACCCAGGAGGGAGGGCTGGTCCGGAGGGATGGGTCGAGAGTCCCGGGAGCCGGCGACTCATACAGCATGGGTCGAAGAAGAACAAAACTGCATAATCATAAGCATAAGCAGATCCACGTTCGCCCCCCCTTGGCGG